TAAAAAAGTCTGTAAGATGGGGGGGGGGGGTTTCCCTCCTCCCTCCTTTCCGCTTCTCTTTTGAGGGGGGGGACCCTTTTAAGCCACCGCTTTCATCAGAAGCTTCGACTCACAGTTAAGCGCTTAACTTCTCATCCGGACTCTGGTTTGTCGCTCCACCACTCCGCTGTTCCGGTGGCGTAGCTATCCCCTTCCATGAGGGGCAAGGCACAGCCGGGGCCGTTTGGGGTAAGAGGGAGAGCCTCAATTCCCAACCTTCTGGTCGGCAAGAGGCTTCTCCCCAGAGCACCCCCTGGTTAGGAGCCCTCTCCTGAGGGCTCCATAGGATCTCCGCTTGCGCGGGACCCCCCCAGGCTGTGCTTGGGCGATCCGAGTCCGGGAGTCGACCTGAGACCCGGTCGCCATGCGCGCCGCCGCGGCCGGAAGTTAACTCTTGATTTAATTTCAACACACTGGTTCTAGTCTGACCTTCTGGGGCAACAGAAAACAATTCTGCACTATCCTTTATATAACAGTACTTGAAGATGGTTATCATAGCCTTGGACCACGTGTCTCTGACACTCCTATACCCACAATGAGCACCCCAACCTGAAAGGCAAGCATCTATTGTTACTGTAACCTGAGGGGACAGGAACCCAAAGGCAACACTGGGCAGCAGGTTAGAATTAAGGGACCACCATCACAAATCCCTTATCACCACCCTCAGAATGGAAAAATGCTACAAATGGTACAGTTATATCTAATATCTTTTGCAGTCTCATGAATCCATATCAAATTTTTTTTGTAACTTTACATGTTCACCACATGTGAAAAAATGAACCATTTTTTTGTTTACATTTCCAGCAAACATTCAACATATTTGGGTACCATTTAGCTAGATTTTCTGGTGTCATATGCCATCTGTAAAACATTTTATATATATTTTCTTTAAATGACAGCTTTAGTAAATTTTATATTTGTTTTCCACACCTTCGCCCATTGGTCTATTAAATATAGTACCAGAGACATTTAAGAAACCAGATACATATATGCTCATGCATGTAATAACTATATCTAGAATTTTATGCACAAAATATTGGAAGAAGGAAGAAGTCCCATCAAAAGAAGAAACAATCTACAAATTATTGGAAACAGCCGAAATGGATAAACTGACTTTACAACTACAAGAAAAACAAGAAGAAATCTTTGAAAAGAACTGGGCAAGAGTTTATAAATGGTTGGAGGACTATCTTAAGAAACCTTAGAAATAGGTTATAAGCTCTCAACACGAAAAATTAAAAATGAAATATGTGTTTACAGGATAGATTCCATTTAGACAAATGTAAGTGAAAGTAATGAGTACAGACTTCAGGCTTATTGTTTGTTGACTTTTCTTTCCTGTATATGTTATTCTCTGTCTTTTTATTCTTTCTGAAAAA